TTAGTTCAAAACTCTACTGAAAACACACATACAATATATACGTGATTGTATGTATATAGCTGAAGGCTATATAACAAGGACAACAACCAACCAAACACCAACAATAAAAAAGCATTAAACACAGTGCCAGGCAGGGGAAACCTCCCTTTGAGATGGTGGTAAGGGTATTTCAGGACCTTCCCTGTGCAAACATATGTCTCTCTCTCTCTCTCTCTCTCTCTCTCTCTCTCTCAATAACACAAGCTATTGCCACCATTTTCGATTGACTCCAAGAACTTGGGTAAGAATCTATTGCTGAAGGCAGGATGCATTTTGGACACACGACTTGAAGTAATCAAGCTAGAACTGATCTGGGATCCTCTGCTCTGAAGATGAGCTGTCATAGTATCAGAACACATTATGCACAGCCAAGGGAGAAAAATCAATCAGTGATTTTATACAGTGGCAGAGTCTATGAATCACAATAATGACTGGTCCAACAAATAATTCATACTGGCACATTGGTGGCACTTTTATCCTGGAGGTAATCAACAGCCATCTAATTGAAATTAAGACCTTCTCAGTGGGAGAGAATTGGTTTATTATTAATGTAAACATAGCAAAATACACATGGCTTGGCAAGATCATAGACGCTGAAGAGCAACATACTTTTGCCATACCCCTAGAGCAATGTAATTTCTTACTGTATTCTAAATACTTATATTTACAGAAAAGAGTCTTTATCATTAATCATCAAAGATACTTTTTGTTGTAACAAAGGGAGTCTATAACAAGACCCCTAAGAGGTCAAATACAAAGAATAAGTGTCTATGAGTGCTCAGCCATTAAGTAGCACATCTACAGTGCAACCACCACACCTAAGGCTCAGGGAACATAGTGAAACGGGGGGAGAAAGAATATTTATTCATCTTTCAACTTTCACTTGCAAAGCTTCCTCATGCAAGAGATGGTGATTAACAAAGAAATCCACAACCTTTCATAGTACAGATAATAAGAAACTGCAGAGGACATATCCCTGAATAGGACATCTATAGCAAACCTCTGCATTCAAAATTTAGGGAACATTGCAGAAGAGGAGGTAGAAAGACTGTAAGTGCTAGAGGTGGTGGATGCCCACAAGAAACAGAATTTTCTAGACAGTTGATCAATTACTAACAGGAAGTTACAATAATGCTACCGACATACTTAAGCCCCATACAAGCCCAAGCCAGACAAACTCCCAGCATAGAAGTTGGGAAGTTGTTAAGCTCCAAACTTAGTGGAGGAAATATGGGTGACCAATAACTACTGGGAGAGGGACAGTCAGTTTTCTTTAAGTGTGTGACTCTAGATAGATAACCAGACTTCAGGGGATTGGTACAGAATGAAGGATATTTGGGGATGCAAACTTGGCTCTATAGGCCTTAGCGCATATGAAAAAAATATGTGAAATGCATTGGGGGGCTATTAGAGGGGTGTGGATAGGGAAGAAGATCTAAATGTGATCAAACTATATTGTACAAAATTTGAAAAACTTCAATAAAAATGTTGAGAAAATAAATGTAAATTTGAAAATAGGAGAAGAAATGTATTGAAATTATTATAAGTGAAGAAAAGATTCTAAGTGGTACTGTGAGCCATCAGAACCTAAACATGTAGAGAAAGGATCCTAAATAGAACCTGAACTCTAGGTCTTCCTGTATCATTTGATTTCATTTTTAAGGTGGATTCATTAATGTCTGGTGGAAAGTTTGTGTTATTTATTTAATAGCTTGATATTTAAAAAATGATTAAACCATCTGGAAAATCTCTTGGTTAATTTGACTACCCCATTCTGTTGAGTTCTGTGCCCAGGTTCCATAGGCAAATGCTCATGAATTTTTCTTATTCCAGTAAAACAAAAGGCACGAGTTGGACACCACTTTTCTGGCAACACCAGGCATAGGTAGCTGAAATAGTGAGCATATGTCTTGCACTCTTTACAGAAAGAGTAAACCCTAGAAGATCCAGAGTTAAATGTAGTATTCCAAAGAGCAATGCTTTTAAATTTATCTGGTGCCTTTAATATTTTTTCCCATTATATATTTTTATTTAATTTTTGTGCATTTCATACAATGCATCTTAATCATATTTAGATTCTTTCCTGTGTCTTCATTCCCCATTTTGCCACACAGGATTTCATGCACTCTGCTATATGCTAAGGCCTATTGAGTCAAGTGTTTGTAGTGAGATGCCCCTCAGTACAAGTACACAATATCTAGATAGTCAGCCTATCTAGTTTCATTCCCTTAAAGAAGGACAACTCTCCCTCACTCAGCAGTAATCAGCTACCAACCTCAGTCATGGTTGTGGCCTGCTGCCGACTTCCACAGTTCTATGCTGGGTTTTTGTCTGATTGAGTCTGCATTGGTCATCTGCATACTGTCACCATTGCTGTAAATTCATGAGGAAATTCCCAGGGGCCTGAAAGACTCTTTATGATCATGTACCAGTCCTGGCTTGTTCTAGGTAGTTTCTCCATTACTGTGACAGAACACTTTGACCAATACCAACCTGGGGAGGAAAGGGTTTATTTGTCTTACATCTCCCAGGTTGCAGTTCATCAGACAACTCAAGGTAGGAACTCAGGACAAGAACCTGGAGGCAGGAGCTAGAGCACAGGCCATGGAGGAACTCTGCTTACTGGTTTGCTCCCCAGACCCTTGCCCAACCTGCTTTCTTATGCAACACAGGCCCACCTGCCCGGAGTGGCACCACCCACAGTGAGTTGGGCCCTCCCACATCACTCAACAGTCAAGATGTTGCCTCACAGATATGGCCACAGGCCAGTCCAAGGGAGGCAATTCCCCAATTGAGGCTTCCTCAACCCAGGTGTTTCAAGTTGACAATAAAGCTATCCAGCACATGGCTCTTACAATCCTTCTATCCCCTAGTTCTATTTAGGGACACACTCCTATAGTCTCTTATTCTCTACACTTTGACCAGTTGTGGCCTTCTGTGTCCATAACCCTACATTGCATGAGAAAGCTTTGTTTGCTGGAGAGAGCTGAAAGATGTATTAATATTTTCTCTACACCCATTTCAACTATGTTCCAATGGCCTTAGATGTGCCAGTTCCGTTACAGATGTCTCACTTAGGGCTGGGCTTCCCACAAATCCTTATTCTCTGTGTTTTACCAGCTCTGGAACTCTGTAATATTCCCTATCTGTTACAAAAAGAAGATTCCTTGGTGAGTGGTAATATAAACATTAGGATTCATATTTAGCATGCACTAAGATTACTTTTCTTTAAAGATGCAATAGACATAGGGTTTTCTTCATGATCTGTGACCTTACCAGCTGTGTGTATTTTTCCATTTACAGTACAACATAAGAGTTCCTGTCATGTATACAAGTGAAGATAATTGCATTCAAATAATTTTCAGTTAAAATCATTGAAAGTCAGACATACTTCATGTCATCTCACAGTTCTGTTTTTTTTTTACACTCAGATTGTCAAGTGGAGTCTGCAAGTTTCTATTCAGAGAGACATGCTCTTCTTCTCTTAACCAAAAGCACTACTACGCCAACTGAACTTTATCGATGGAAATACTAAACACTAATATTGTAGTTATCATTTTAAAAAAATATTTATTTAATAACCACATGATTAGAAGCATTTCATAACAGCATTAACATATTCAATAACAATTTCCAAAGCAAAGATGCGTCTCTTTCAAAATTGGCTTTAAATATTTAGATTCAAGTTGAATTAGTAGTTCTACAATATTGAACTCAATATAAGCCCTATAAAACACAAAAATGAATGAGCTTTTAACCTTTAAAAAAGATCTTCATTTCACTTTAAAATATACTGTTTC